GGGGAAGCATTTTTTGTGTGTTGTTTTGATTTATGATTTCGAGTGCTGCTTGCTTTTTCGGACACAGGGGCAGCGAGTTTAGTCGCCGGAACTCTTGCCACGTGGTATTCCAGCCTGCTGATAGCGTCGTTGTGGAGATGGAATGGGGAAAAGCACGCCACTTACCGACATCTCGCGATGAGTATTTATGGTTCTCCCCGATTTCTGTCTTGTTTATTTTACTTTTATTTTTATCCTCTTTTTCTCGCAAACAGTTGGTATTATGTTAGGCTTAGGCCTGCAAACGAGCCGAGCTCGAGCTTAGGGTGCTAGAGCTAAAGCTCGAGTCCTTAATCTTGGCTCGTTAAACGAGTTAGAAATCGAGTCCGAGTTGAGCTTGTTGTTAAAAGAGTTCGAGCTTTAACGAGCTGAACTATAAAAAATTGTATAAAATTTCTCCTTTTGAGCCTTAACGAGCCGATCTGAGTTCGGCTCGTTAACCAAACGAGCTTTGAATGAGCTTGAGCTCGGCTCGTTTATGAAATGAGTCGAGCCGAGCCATGTTTAATTTAACAGCACTAGTTACGCGAACCTAACCCGAAATAAACATAAGTTTGGCATTTGCACTAGTTAGGCTAACCTAACCCGAAATAAACATAAGTTTGGCATTTTGATAATATATGTATGCATTTTTTGTTCAAATAGTATGACGAGTCGACCCGCCTAAATAAACATAAGTTTGACAGTTTGATAATATATATATGCATTTTTGTTCAAATAGTGACGAGTCGACCCGCCTAACGGTTAGACTGTCTCACACAAGAATTTTTGTCAAAATTCTTTTGTGAGGCAGTCTAACCGTTAGGCGTGTCGACTCGTCATAGAACAAAAGTGCATACCTTTGTATGACGTTTCAAGTTTGAAAATATGCATATTTGAATCTGACTAACCATAGTATTACTTTTTTTTTTTTTTTTTTTGCATGGATCTTCATTTTTGAATTTGATTGATTTTTGGATTGAGTTTTGTTGTTCTTGATGTTGAAGGATCATGGGGTTACTGGTCCATTGCATTTTTTCAGCAGGTAGCTTCCTTGGGGAATAATGTTGCTATTCAAATTGCTGCTGGCAGTAGCCTTAAGGTATTATTATATTATGATGAATACAATTTCAAGTTTTCTAATATTTCCATTTCAAGAAAATTGTGTATGGTGAGTAGAATAATAGCCTCTACTTTTAGCAAATACGTTCCGAGTATGCTTTGTCGTTTGATGAATAAGCCGTGCCCGTAAGCAGATGAAGAATCTAATACACTAAACCATTGCGTTTGAGAACCTTAAAATTATTTATTCGACCATTTTCCCCCCTTTAAACTGATTGCAAATGCTCCCTAAATCGAACAGGATATGAAATCATGTTCGAATCTTGTTTCTTTACGTATAATTGTTTATCCCCCTCTTTCTACAGGCAGTATACAAATACTATCATCCCGGCAATGGCTTCACTCTGCAGCATTTCATAGTCTTTTTCGGAGTTTTCGAGCTTTTTCTCTCACAGTTTCCGGACATTCATTCATTGAGATGGGTGAATGCTTTATGCACTCTTAGCACCATCGGTTTTGCTTGCACAACCATTGGGGTAACCATATATGATGGTAAAAGGAATTTAAAAACTATTTTACTTTCATCTTATTTTTCCTTTTTCCTCTTTGCGAAATCGAGTTTGAATTTGAACAAAATTAATCGTAGGGAGAAGGGCTAACCGAGAATCGATTTCTTATAGCCTGCAAGGAAGCTCATCGGCTAAAGTCTTTAGAGCATTCAATGCTTTAGGTGCAATCGCCTTCTCATTTGGGGATGCTATGCTCCCTGAAATACAAGTAAACAATAGTCTCTCCTTTTTCATTACAATGATTTGTGCAACAAAATATTATTTTTGCAATAGGAGCTCACTTTTCTGGCTATTTTTTGCAGAGCACGGTGAGAAAACCGGCTAAAGCGAATTTGTACAAAGGCGTATCAGCTGCATACTCCATTATCGTCTCGACTTATTGGCCACTGGCTTTTTCGGGCTATTGGGCGTTTGGATCGGAAGTCAAGCCTTACATAGTGGCTTCGCTCACGACGCCTATGTGGACAGTCGTGATGGCTAATCTATTTGCAGTGATTCAAATTTCTGGATGCTTTCAGGTAAAAAAATCCGTTGTACTTACATTTGAATTTTGTTTACAATGTTGAATTAAACAAGAGTGATTGAACTTGATGCTAACTAAAAAAGTTTTAACCGATATTTTGTTCCGCGTTCTCTAGATTTACTGCAGGCCTACGTATTCATATTTTGAAGCAAGAAATAACACGCGTGACAACAAAAATATCATCAAGAATTATAAGTACCGTCTCTTCTACACGGCAATTTACATTGGTTTCGTAACGCTTGTTGCATCTGCAATGCCATTTTTCGGAGATTTCGTTTCTATATGTGGAGCCATTGGTTTTACACCGTTGGACTTCGTATTTCCCGTTCTTGCTTATATGAAAGCCGGAAAAAAAACGAGTCGTGAGAAGTTACGCTTGCCTGTGATGATCCTCAATTGTGCTATTGCTATCTGGTTTTCAGTAGTTGCTGTGTTGGGCTGTGCAGGTGCTGTTAGGTTTATCGTGCTTGATATCAAGACATACAGATTCTTTCATGATATGTAACTGTAAGAAAATTGGAGGGCAAAAGCTAGAAGGCATGTTTGTGTTATTTGTGAAATATGTTTGTGTGTGTGTGTGTGTGTTTTTATTATTATTATTATTTTATTTTATTTTATTTTTAATTTTTTTGTTACTCCTCTGTAGAACATAACAATAGTAGAGAATAATGGAAGCATGGATTGCATAACAATATTTTTTTTTTTTTTGGTATATATTTGGCACACAATTGCCCTTTATTTTGTGAAAGTTCTATGCAAGTAAAAAATGTACAAACTCCCAACTACCATAAGCACACCAATGAAGAAGTCATTAATGGCTAACCTCTATCTACCTTCTTCTTTCACACACCATTCGTCAATAATATAGTGTTTGCGTGTATCTATAAATAGGTTGTTCATTTCATTCATTTCATCACATTAATTACTACTCCTTCCTTTTTTAAATAAATGTCGTTTTGACTTTTTTGATTCATCCATTTTGCTATGTATCTAGACATATTAATGTCTAGATACATAGCAAAATGGATGAATCAAAAAAGTCAAAACGACATTTATTTAAAAAAGGAGGTAGTATTTTTTTAATTACATATCATTTCCAAATTCCAATTAACATATTTCCTACATTCACATCACACTTCCTTGAATCATTACATCTTAAATCTTAAATAATATTTAAATACAAATTACAATCTCACCCAATTAACTTTACTTAAAATTAGCTCATTTTAACCAATAATTTCAATCAAAACTAATTTTATTTATAATCAATCATTCAAGTTTAACTCATTTTATCCAATAAATTAAACTAAAACTGTTTTTTTTTATTTATTTATTTATTTTCAATCAGCATTTATTCTAACCAAATGAATGCTGCCAAAAAATTACACACTTCTAAATATATCATGCTATGTTAAATTTTACACGGAAATGTGTAATTATTACAACTGTCGTCTGGCAATTGCAAACACATTGACCACTACATCACCGGAAATAGTAGCTGCGCGCGGGCCCACTCGTTTTTCCCGCCAATATCAGCTTACACCAAAAAAATCAATTTATCTTTGGTCATTTTTGCCTCGACTATAGTTTGTGTGGAATAAACGAAGATCTTGCACATATCCTAATAAAAAAATTACTCTTCCTTATTTTTATTATTTGTTATTTTGAGAAACAACACACTAATTAAAAATCTTTTTTTTCGTCAATATTAACCCTATTTAATGAACGTTATGAGAAACAATGAAGATAGGATATGAAGAGACATTGTGTATTAGATGGAGAGTTAAAAATTGAAAAATATGAATAAAATAGCCAAAACAACATTTATTTAATCAATAATCAATTAAGTCAAGATGACAAATAATAAAAATTGAAGAGAGTAGTAAAAAATTTTCATATACAAATCACTATCTAGAATTTTCGCCTTGTTTTAAATTATACTACCTCCCATTCTTTTTAAATGTCATTTTAATATTATCAACTATTAACAAAATAAATGTCATTTTGGATATTTTGTACATATTTTTCCATTATTATCATCATCTACTTAATAAATACACTACGCCTTTTCATATTTACTATTCATCTTTTCTCAAAACATTTATTTCTATCCTCATTAATTAGGGTTATTATTGACAAAAAAATATTCTTAATAATTGTGTAACTTTTCAAAAGGACAATTATTATGAATAGGAGGGAGTATTTAAGATTGTTCACATATTGGTAACCACAAACTAAATACATGGTTATTCAATTCAATTTTTGTTGATTTGTTAGGATTATTTTGTGAAAAATATCAAACTTATCTCACAACTTTCTATATACAACTTTTCAAATGAGTATTGATTTTATTTTTTTTCTTCATAAACTTATCCACGTAGCGTCTCAAATAATCATATTGTTTCATTTGATTTATTAGCTACTTTTATCTCACTTTTATTACTATTTCAATCATGACCAGTCCTTAATTTAAACTATTAATTATAGTTCAAAAGTAATTTATTTATCTTGTTCGCTATATACTAGTTTACCATTTGAATTTACTACACACTAGTATGTAGCCCTGTACGATGAACGAAAAAAATATACTAGTATTAAATAAGTCATTTTCATAGAGTTTGTTCATAAGTAGCTTGTGCAATGCACGAGACAAAGATATTAAATGAGTCATTTCCATAGACTTGCCCGTTAAGGCTTGAAAAATAATAGTATTGAATCATCTATTTTTTACCTCTTTTTCATTTTTTTTTTCGGGACGTTAAACTCGAGACTATTAGCGCTAACCCATAAATTAATTAATATATTATCATGCTAACATATTTATGATAATATAAATTTGATTTTAGTATATATGTTTATTCCTTGATATGTGAAAAATAACAATTTTACTTATCATTGTTTATAATACTCAACTATTATTTTATCATAAAATTTGTTGTAATATATTGTTATTATTATTATTTATAAAAGTTATAGATGTATTCTTAATTTTCTTTTTATTTTATGTAATGAAAATATTCAATGTACGTTAATATTATTTATAGATGTACCTTCATTACATATTTAGATTAGTAATTAAATATTATATAAATTGCATAATTTTAAGTTCACTTATCAATTTTTGGATATAATCTTTATTAAACTTTTGCATAAGTAATTTATACAGATTCATTTTCTTAGTAAAATTAATCTTATTAAAGTAATTTTACTAAAGATGTTTATTTTTTTATTATAAGTATGTACAATATAAGTATAAAAAAATATTATTTCTGTTCACATAATTATGTCATAAAACAAAATTTATTGAACCTAGCAAATATAAAATTGAGTCTTAAATTAAAAGTAACCCAATTTAAACGTTATATAGAAAAAAAAAAGAATAAAATGGAGACATAATACTATTAAAAATAAAAATAAAAATAAAAAATTGTTAATGTAATAAATTTCCCTCTTCAGAATTTGTTAAAATTTTAACTAAAAATCGGTATGCCAAAAGTCACTTCTCTTTACCGTTTTGAAAACATTACTATCTCAGTTAGGCGCCGTTTGGCCACACCATGATTTCAACGTCGATATTCGCGCTAAAAAGTAACACAAAAATTTACTAAACAAACAGGCCCTTGCGTCCCAACTCCCATATATAAGCCATAGATTCACAGTTCCTTGCTGCTTCCATTTACATTTTGCTGAAATCCTCTCATGGAGGCCTGCGTCAGTACGCGTGACGGTTAGTTGCTGATAACTCTCTCTCTCCCCCTCTCTCTCTCTCTCTCTCTCTCTCTCTGAAACTTTTTTCAGCGTTTTCCTCTGGTTTTTGGATTTTTTTTTCTGGTTATGCTGCCATGAAATAGAACCAGAGCTTGTTTTATTCGGGATTTTCTGCGTGTTTTGAGAGCTTGTTTTCCATTTTTAGGTTGGCGGATTCTGTTATCTGCGTTCACCGGAGACCTCGACGAGCTTCAGAGTAAATGTTTACTGCTCCTTTGTTCATATTTGTTCGCGTTAACTTCAGTTTTTTTCTCTTTTGCTGTTGGATGAATTCTGAAGTGGTTTGCGATTTTGGTAGGGGTGAGATATGAAACTGGCGACGACGACGCCTTTCGTAAGAAGTGCGAGCACTCGAAAGGTCCCGAAGGATTCACGTGTTTACACCTTGCGGCTGACAATGGAGACATACCGATTTTCAGGGTTTTGATTGAGAAACTGAATCTGGATGTCGATATGGAAACTGAAAGAGGTGTATCTCTTTAGGATCTGCGTACGAGTAGTTTTGTTGATATGATTTCCCGATTATAATGTCACTTTTTTTTTTTTCTTTCTTGCTTTTTTCCGATCCTTCTGTTAAGGGGATACTGCTCTGCTAGTTGCTGCTGCGAAGGGACATTTTAAGGCCGTGAAGTATTTGATACTCCGAGGTGCTGATATTAATTTCAGCGGTTACAAGGGAATCACATGTTTTCATCTTGCTGCTGAAAGAGGTTGCTCGGTTTTTATGCTATTTTGCCTTGTTTGTAGAAGTTATGTGGCCGCTCTGTTTGTAGAACGAATTCACAAGTGGTTCTGTCGTGCAGGAAACAAAGAGATTATGCAAATGTTACTATTGAGAGGTGCTGATTTAGAGGCACGTTCTGTGAAAGGAACACCGTTGACATGTGCGGCATCTTCTGGATGTGTGGAATCCGTTCGATTTCTGTTACGCCGTGGTGCTAATGTGAGTGAAATCCTAAGACTTGTGTTGTTTGTTAAAGAAGTTTTGGTATCACGTGGATTTTATAAATGAAATACTACTATTTTTGAGGTTTAGTTTGATTGCGAAGAAATCCTTCTAGTTCTCGAGATGACAAAAGTTCATTAGATATTTGTTTGTAATTTACAAGTTCCATTCTCGGAAATTTTGTAAGATCATGCTAGCGTGGTTTGTATTACCTTTAGGGATATTTAGACGTAAGTTCACTCTTTTTCATGTGTCACTTCATACAATGGTCTTAGGTTGATTTGGGAACCTTACGTTTCTAATGGTGCTTATTTGATAAAATCTGATCTATCGATTTATATTTGCAGCCGAATGCTGATTCTCCTCTTTCTGGCACCCCTCTTATGGGGGCTCTTTTGTGCCCCTCGTATGAATGCTTTGACCTGCTGCTGAAGGTATGATTGTGAAATATCGTCATCTTTTTTCACTCACCTTAGTCTGTTGTTAGAATTTTGACTTTTGCTTCTGCCCATTTTATAATACCATCCAAGTTTAGTGGTGTAGGTTGTGTCCATTTTCAAGTAGTTCATGTATGTATTTCTAAAATGCATTCAGAACTTAGCACGAAACTAATATGAAACTAATACTCGTTATTCACTGACATGAATCACGAGTCGTTCTTAGTCATTTTTATTTTGAAGAACATTTGTTATTAGTGTCATTTCAATCGTTTTCATTAATCTTACTAGTGTGCTGGCTCAATTTGATATTTTATACCAATCAGGTTGGTTAACTTCATTCATTGTCCTCCTTCAGGCTGGAGCCAACCCAAACACTTTTTCACTCGGTTTAAGTCCTCTGGCAGTTGCAGTCAGAGACAAAGATACAAAACTTCTTAGGTCTTTGCTTGCAAATGGAGCTGATCCGAACTTAAGCACCATTGTTAGTTCCGAATTTCTATTTTGGGGATAACTATAAATGTACCCTTGAGATTTGACCTAACTGCAGAAAAAGACTAGCTGACTTTTAAAACTATAAGAGATGGCCCTGAAAATTTATGCAAATGACATAATCAAATCTGAGGGTTCTTATGTATAATTCTGAAAGTTTTCTTTCGTGAACTGTCCTTTGGATTCATTTTCAGTCTCCACTGACTTATATCCTGACACCACATTTCATCTTATTTGTTTTCCAACCTTGAAATCTTGAGATTTTAGCTTAGCTTGGTACTTTTGTATTCTTTGCTGTTTTCTAGGACCTTTTGAAACCCATAGAGCATGCTGTCGACGTTGGTAATCTTGATGGGGTTAACATTTTGTTTCCTTTGACTGAGAGAATGATGGAATATCGCGATTGGAGCATTCAAGGCATCATAAATCGCTTTCACTCTGAACAAGCAAAGAGACAGGTCTAAAGCACATTATCTTTTCTTGTAAAAAGTTCTTGTTCTGAGTTGCATGCTCTTTTTCTTTGCATGGATTAAACATTGGTTGCCTTTGTGTTCTTCCATATGCCATTCGTAATGTTGTAACAAAGTTACAAAAAGTTTTCATGTAAACTAGTTAGTTAATCTGATTTCATAACCACCGTTGTTCGCTTTACTAGAGCCAATAGCACCCATACTTTATTTTCTCATTTTGGATTCTCTTAAGATGTGACTGTTGAGATATCTGGCATGAAATTGATCGAAATGCAGGCATTCTGATTCTATTTATTTGTTTCCTGGGTTGTTATATTTCAACTTTCTTGTTTTAATATATCAGAGAATGGCGGCACTAGTGGTCACCTTTTGGGAACTTGATAAACTAGGCAAAGGTGCTTTAGGAAGTGGAGATTACCAAGAGGCCTTAAAATGGTTTAATATGGTAATTCAGCTCTTCCTTCTGCTTTAATTGTGGCTTAATCTTAACTGAGATTGTTCGGAAATTTACTTTTCTCTGGTTAGTTTAATCATTGGTTCTTGTGGTTCAATTTGTGATTGGCATCTAAATTGGTAGGCACTTATTCTTCAACCGGACGACGAAACATTGCTGGAAAACCGCAGTAAATGTTGGATAGCTTTACATGAACCCAATTTCTTATTGCATGATGCCGAAGCTTATATCCTGCTGAAACCTAATTCCCCCAAGGCTCACTGCATGAAAGGCATTGCCTGGATGCTCCTCAAAGTATGCAAAAATATTTCATCTCAGTACACTTATAATTTCAATCGAATACAAGAATTCGTTTTTTTTTTTCCTTTTCTTTTCTTGATGGGTGGTGCTTTTATTTACATACAGAACTTCCCCGTGGCATGCAAGTCATACAAAAGTGCTATTGATCTGGATCCGTATTCTATCGAAATTAAAAATTTGTTTAGGTGAGCATCATTGTTAATTTTGCTCGAAATGTTTTATTCTCTAGATTTTGAGGCAATTATCATCAGGATAACTAATATGCCATTGTCTTTTGTGACAGCATTGCTGCAAAGGGTTTCCTGCTTAGCCTAGCTGAAAAGAACCTAATGAGGACAGTGACATCCTTACCAAAGGTTATTCCTCACTGTGAGATTTTCTGCTCGACTTTGCTTGAACTGGCTAACGAGAACCCAACGGAGGCTATGAATCTTCTTCGTCAGTTTCTGGACAGACCTGAATTCCTGTTCTGAAACGAGATTCTGCACCTGGAAATTCTACTAATACTAGGTGCTTGTTAGTCTGTTTTTTGTGTCTATATTCATGATAGCCCTTGTGTTACCTAGAACTTCCCTTTTTTGTCGAGGCAATACGTACATAGCTAATTGGTCGAGAAGTTAATTGATATAGACTTGTTACCATAACCCTTTACCCGAGTTTTTTGAGAGCTTAATAGGCGAAAAAGAAAAATGGCAATGACACCTTTTTGCAAAGTGAGCTTTTTACATGCATTTTGTTGCTGAAAAAATACACTGGCATACCCACGTTGACAGTATATGTATCTGAGTTTTTTGTGTTGGCGGACGTAAGTACAGATGAAAGTACATTTTGCTGATTTTTGTGTTGCTGCTTTAATTTGGCCTCAATACAATATACGTCCTCTTTGTGCATGTGTGGATTTTAGTGGCATTGAGTACCCTATAATCTGTTGAGTTTGTTGGTTTGAATGTGTTTGAGCTCTTTTAAGTGACTCGAATGTGTCGACTATTATGAAAAGCATAAGGTGTGATTCAGAGGTAGGTGCTCTTAGTTTTCGAGTCGATTGCAAATGAAAACGATTAATTATTATAACCCTTTATTGATTATGTTCGCTTTAGATGATGGTCAGATAAAATGACCTGTGCTCTTTATCATGTGCAATGCTGTTTATACTTTAATTTTTGCAAGGGTTAGCGACACCAACATAAGATGGAGTTTGCCTTTTCTGGAGTTTTTAGGGCCTTAAGTGCAATTTGTGTATGGAAATCAAATAGTAAAAGCATCTGATTTGAATTTTATTAGTTATTTAATTTTGTTGCAACTTGTTTCCATGTCTAACTGAAATTTGAGCAGGCAAAAGACTGAACTGAATGATTAATATAGCTTTAGTTATTAAAGAATATTTATATATACTTCTCAAATCTCCCAAAACGGAAAATTCCACTATTTTGTTTGAGTTTTTGCCATTGGTTTACACACATAATATATTTAGGAAAAACGCGTATATTTCGATCAAGGGTTTTTCTCATAGATGATTGGTGGGTATCATTAGGGCTGTAAACGAGCCGAGCCAAACCACCTTATCAAGTAGGGTTGATTTTTTTTTTTAGCTGCTCGAGCTCGACTCGATAAAAAATTACAATAGCTCGAGCTCGACTCGAAATCAAAATGCTCGAGATCGGCTCGAAAATTTGTAAGTGGAACGGTAGAATTACCATTAAGGACCTATGCTAACATATATTTAAGTGGTATTTTAGTAATTTAACATGTATCTCGAGCTGTTCAACAAGGCAAAATATGTGCTCGAGTTCGACTCGAGTTCGTGCTCGAACCGCTCGAGTCGAGCTTTGGCTCGAGCACTCGCGAGCGGCTCACGAACCACTCGGTTCGTTTGCAGCCTAGGGATCATAATATTCTTCTTGGTGGAGCATCATTCAAACATGATAAATTCATAATTGGAGTTTTCGTGTCCCTTTGGTGAAATTCAAATTGTTACATTGCAAATGTACCCAAAAATGCGCTAGTCTCGCACTACACATAATCTCAGGCAAATAAAACCATTAACATTCAGAACAATCATAAGGCATTACCAAAATCTAGCGATCAAAACTTGGATCATTGCAACTTTCTCCAATGTGTGTTTTCCTTCGCAATGTTTTTTAGGGAACTAATACAGTCCCGTAGACGAAATGGTTCCGTCAGTGGTGGTCACCGTAGATTATTCAAACAATATAATCTATATGTGTATCCAATGGTGAATAACAATATGTGTATCCAATGATGAATAACACTGACGGTACCATCCCGTAACGGGCCCTTAGTATTTTCCCTTTTTTTTACTCACAATGATTACTTAGAAAAAATTTGACTTCCTCAACACACTGTTGCAACAGAAAAATCCAGAACCACCTCCAAGAAAACACTACCATAATTATTGAAGTCTCAAAAAAAGGGGGGGTTGTTGTTATGGGCAATTTCAAGAATCGGGAGCTTTACGTGAATAGCCAAGCACCATCACAAACTCCTTGGCCGATGACCCGATTGTGGCCGCCACTCGGTCAGTTGTCGTGGTTTGAAGCCACATATCAACCACATTATGCAGGGGGCATGTGGGGCACACTTTCTGGCCCATGCACTTGATCTCGACCTATGAAATCATTCGAAAAATTAGAAGTTCGACAACGAAAGGAAACGGGTAGATGGATAAAATTCATACAAACTAAGTATTCGGAAAAGTTTTCAAACCGAAGAAATAGTTATACACTTTTACCTATGATTGTGCAAAACATGCACGGTAAACATATATATCGACTATAATTTTAATTTGTGTAGTAGTAATAGAAATCGATTCTTGCTAATTAGGAGGGAATTAAAAGTTTACCTCATCTTCACTCGGAAGATTTAACTTCATCTTCACGTACTTTTGAACAAAAGAAACTGGTATGCTCCCATCCCTGTCAAGGATTCAATGAACATCAAAGAGATATATATAATAACTTTCTGTATAATAATTTTCAGATAAACATTTCACTTTCCTTTTTTTTTGGGAAAAATAAAGAATAAGTGGTCACTTCTTTTCTAAAACTTTGTACGTAGTACTTATTACAAATGGAGCAGGAAATGGGTTTGGAGCACACTACTGAATATTCAATGAACACATTGAAGTTACAATTCTTTCTAAAGTAAAAGCAGAATCTGCTAAAGGCCTAAGGCTGCAACTTCATGAAAAGCCCCGAAGAGAGAGATTCATATTCGATGATCTCAAAAGTTCTACTACGAAATTAGGAAGGTGACTCAACCCATTAACAATCTATAAACCATTAACATTTTGTTTACAAATATAAACTACATTAGAAGCCGAAGAGCTTATGAAAGGAAAAAAAAATTTCACTAACTCAAGTTCGTGCTAACAAAACATTTCACCAGAATTGAAAGGATAAAAAAATAACCAAAAAGGGTGCATACAAGCCTTTTTTTTTTGTTTTTCCTAGTTTTACAGCTACTGCTCTGTATCCTACCATTTATGACGTTCAAAATTTTGATATTTTTAGTAATTAAGCTGCACTTCATTTATTTTACTGGGCAGCTACTAACACACTTCATGATCTATAGAACTTGGATCAATTTACATGTATGCATGTAAAGTTGCATACAACTGCTAGTAAGCCTGAAGAGCAACTTCGTAAATGCAATCATGTACAGGAAATATTACACTATTCCTTAGCCCCACATAGAATGGATTTTTCATTCAACAATTCTCTCACGATGAAATTTGAATAAATGACCGTATCATGGGAAAAATCTTGTTGCAATCAGGCTACTTATAACTTTTAGAAAGAGTAACCAACTATAACTCCCGTGTTACTATGTTTTACTAATTTGATTCTCATCCGTATAAATTTAACCCCATTTAGTTCAAATTCAACAAACACCACCAATTATTGTACCATGTACCCTTGCAAGTATCTCTTCACTCCATATAAAATAAAAACCAGGTCATAGTTCAAACCAAATTAAGGTACACGGTATTCATTTTTAGCCATTTTCAGATTTGTTTTTTAAAAAAAAGTCCCAAATAAAAGTAGTTAGCCACAACTTACTTTATTCTCAAATAATTTGCAGGAATTTGAGGCAAGGATAGTGCATTTCCTTCCCTGAAATACATCAACCGAAAAAGGCAAAGAAATTAGAAAACATACATATCCACACATAACTTCATATGCAAATCTCGTTACAGCTAGTATAACGAAAAAAAAGAAGGAGCATACTTTTCGTCTGAGACCAGTGAAAACCAAATCGGGCAACTTTTACGCTCGGATTTTGTACTGGCAGCATCAAGCACGGCCTGTGGGGAAACCATAGATTCTCCATAATTCTGTGCCTTTTTTTGACGGGCCCTCCGCATCTTCTTGGGCCTTCCGGGCTCGGGAGGAGTATGGTCCTCAGCATTCTCTTCCTGAGCTTTTGCTTTTTGCCTGTGCTCTCTACTCTTGGATTTACTGACCTGCCCCTCACTTTCACGAGCTTCTGATTTACCACTAGGCCCTTGAGCGTTGAGCTTTAATGGCTTGGTCCTGCTTGCTGCCTCCACTAAACAGTTTAAAGGCTTCCAAAGGTCAACTTTCCCTTCTTCCCAAGCCCCCGACTGATCCTCCCTCTTCATATCAGGACTGTGCCGATTGGATGGCTCACCAGAAGCAGAGCACTACATAGAATAATGCAGTTAAAACATGAAAAGTTTACATTTTGAAACATGCAAAAGGTTATATATGTGTCCAAATATGCACTAACTTGTAGAATGTTTTGCGATGGCACAGAAAGCAAAAGGAAAAAGAAAAAAAAAATGTGAATATGACGTTCTAGCTGAGAAGAAAGTTTGTATTTTGAGTGTTTGCAAAATACTAGCTTTTGCTTCCACCTCACAAAGATGTAAATTCTTTAACTAGTACTAAAAAAACAAAACTTCCGATTCAACAAAACTGATTTTTCCAGAAAAGCGATGTGCATTATACACTCACCTGCCTAATGTTCTGAGTATATCTCCTCAGAGTGTCGGGCGAGCCAGAGCTCTCAGGCTGCTCGTCCATGGAGTCATCTTCCCTTTTCATGGGTCTCTCACTCGTGAAATTTGTGCCCTTCGAGGAAGCCTTTCTTGCGGTGGACTTGGACCTTCTGCCAGTCAACCCACCCTGTGAAGACACACGTGGGGTGCTGACCCCCAACGACGAGAGAGACCTTTCTTTTCTCTTTGCAGGCAATGTGACTGGTGGCACGATGTCCGAGGCCCTCGCCTTTATTCTTTTGTAAGGGAATATTTTTCCCCTCACGTCTTGCAGATTATGATCCGGCCTGATAAGACAAAAACATAAAAATTGTAAAAAAATTGTAAACAGCAGTATAGGAAGGTTCCTTATTTAGTTGTATAAGTAGCAAAGTTGATCTCCTGAGTATTATAACGAGGTGGGATTTTTGGTTTGCTCCGCACAAGTTTTATTTTTTCGCAGTTTGGGTCCCTATAAGTTCCAGTTTTGTGCAACTTTAGAGCCTGATGATGAAATATTGAAGTATAGTGACCAAAATTGCTCAAACGTAGAACGTACAAGATCAAAATTGCGCATTTTTTATCTTGTACGTTCTAAGTTTGAGCAATTTTGATCAAAAGTTGCAAAAACGACAAATTTTGAGATAAAAACAAGTACAAATGCATCCACCTCAGCTTCTCCAATGGAGAACAACCCAAATCAATGCTGCATACCGGGCAGCATTCCATCTCCTCGTCTGATAGATTCTTGTGTATACATTTCCTGCAAACTACATTACACTTGCAACGTCCAATTGAGAATCATCATCATGGAAAAAAAGGTCATGGATCAAATTTTGAATCAGTGAAGATTGCAAGTCATCATCTATAAGCCACATTTTTTTTTTTAAGTGAAAAAACCAAAAAGGCTTACAATCACATAAAGCCTCTTATGCATGCATATCAAACCATAGAAAGTGCCTTTCATGAACAATACTATACTGGTTCCAATGTTGTGAGACAAATAACAAGCTATTGAGGATACAATACAAGCATAGGATTCTTTTCGTTTCAAGTAGCCTAAGCTTTTACACAATGTTCACTCCGAATATCACATTACTAGAGAATTTAGTGCACATTACCAATTAATGAAATTTCTGTAGTCTTGTAAGAGATCTAGAATGAAAATTCAACTCTAGAAAAGTATTTCCATGCAACTCTTTCCAAAGAACACAATCAGCGTAAGTAGGGAGTGTGTGGGTCCCTTTATAACGAGGCGCTTTAAACAAGCAAAAATATTAGAAGATATAATTATTTTGCAAAGTAAGTTATTGTATTGGTTGACCCAAGAACATCATCATGTATTAAGATAAAACATATGAAGAATCTGTTTACATTAAGATCAAAGCAAAAGGAGGGTTCATTAAGATTATAAATACCAAGTGGAAGCTTCTTGTTTTGAAAGCTATAAAAAGAACATTTTGTTTCTGGAACAAAGAGAGGTCTTCTAATTTATCAAACTATGGCTATACAATTTCTCAGTCAATCTATCTATCTATCTATATTCATACAAACCGGAGCATAAAAGCATCGCTCGACACACAGAACATATCATTAAATCAACAAAACAGGAAATTATCACCACAGAAACACATCAACAAAACAGGAAATTATCATTAGATCCGGACGAATACAGGCATGAAAACAACTGATTGGACAGGTAAAACAAAAAACAAATCTACGTACGCACACACAATGGAAAACCCAGGTAGCAAACAAATCCCAGATCGACAAATGAACAAACACCACGAGAGCACATCGAAATTCGATCAACCAAACAATAATCCCAATCACAAAAGTCAAAACCAACAAAAAAAAAAAGAAAAAAAAAACACACATAAAATCGTGAACGAGAAGAGAGATCACCCACACGTGTGGAGGCACTCGATAACTGTGGTGGCCTCGCGAATGAGCTTGTAGCAGAGAGGGCAAGTCATGCATGGCGCCACTGCCTCCCGCCTCACACTCACCACCTGATGCGGCATCGTACAGCCCAATCCGAACCTGAATCAATTCAATAAGCCAATCAGTACCCAACCCACGTAATCTATCAGGTGCATGCGCCCACCGCGCCATGGGCGGCGCCGATTACGTCCATTTTTTTCTGCCGCGGGTTTATCGCGTCTGCATTAAAAACGTGCAAAACCAGAAAACCCAGAAATTAAAAAGCATAAGGGGGTGGTTACCAACGGCCACCGATGATAATAGAAACGTACGAGCGAGAAGAAGAGCAGGCGCAGATGTGATAAAATAACAAAAAATGGTTCCTGATCGGAAATTGAGAAGGTGAGTAAGTCTGAGGAAACGAGAGGATTCGAGAAGAAGCGAATGGGGGGAAAAGGAGAAAGTGGGCTGGAGATTGAAGATTGAAAAGGCTACGGCTTGCCCACGATCTGTGTGCCTGTGGGTGTGTATTTGTGTGTATGGGTTTGTGAGCCGAAATCGAGACAGAGGAACAGAGGAGAGAGAAAGAGGAGAGACAAAGAGAGAGGAGAGAGAGAGACGACGGTGTGTGCTTTACTGTTACAATTTTTAGCATGAAAAAAATGTCGCCCCATTTTTCCAAGAACGGCCCGCTAGGGAACCATTCGGATTTGTGTAACCGTTATATCAATTATTCACGAGAGTTACATGATGATTTAACGGTTACAACTTTGAACAGAATGACTCCGTAACAAAAGTGTGGCATTTCCCTTCCAAGAAATGTATGTGTTATACTATGAATTAAAATATATGACTTTTTAATAGTTGGATCAAATGTACAATGTATTAATGTTGCAATTTTACGAGTATGTTTGGATAAAAGATTTTTTTTTAAATAATTCTTTGTTTTAATTCAAATTTAATGCTCCACGATCATCAATATTATTAATGTAATAAAATAATATTAATCAATCATTATTATACATTACATTGACTTTAGTTCCCATTCATCAACTAATATAATTTCTAACCATCAGTTCACAATATAATTTCTCACATAGTTTTACATCAATCTTACTTTATTTATTTTATTTTAAATACAAACTCAAACTTTCACTAACAACTAATTATAACACATTTTTCTAAACTACTAAAAAAAATCTTATATCTAAACATTTCCATGTGATTGGAGTGTTAAAACTTTTGTGTAACGTATTTATGTAATAAAAAAAAAATCTTATATCTAAGCATTTCCATCTTATATTTTAATCGTTGGATTAACATAGACGACATACCAATATGTAATAAATATGTGATCAAACAATCACCAAGGTTCCATAGAAAATTTGGGCATTTAAAATAGGGAATATGTATATTATTTTTATTTAACTAAATTTTAGGTAAATAAAGCATATGACAAAAATAGTCCACCATTCTCATTCTTATGACTTTTTATATTCAAAATTGTTCGATGGATTTGTTGATTTTTTTTCTTAACTTCGTTTTGTCATGATTCGAGTATTCGTATTTGTATCCTGACATTTGTATCTTTTTGTTTTATGCATAATGGATGCTACGCAAATTAATTATGAATAGGATTAAGCTGGTACCACCACGAATGTTCTTCGTTTTGCGCTCTGATAACCTGCAATTACAACATGGAGGGGTCATGGCATAAATTCTCCAACTCTCAAGTCAGTTCTCACTTGTGAGTATATCAAAAATTATATGTGTTGTGTAAAAAATAAAAAATAGTAACCACTTTTTATATGGAGGTTCTATTTCTGTCCAAGCAGATTCCTTGCTAGAAAAGAGATCCTACCGTATGTCTCTTTTTAGTATAACACGTCTCTAGGATCTTAGTCTTCTTAGTGAGATAAACTTACCATTCTTATTTGATGTAGAACGTGATACGAAAACATGGAAGATCGAGATACTCTCTCGTGATAAAAGACAGCAGATTAATTTCATAAATTTTCTTCAATCGTTCTCATGTCTAACATGAGATAATAAATAGAAAATAGAGTCCACACTTGCCAAACAACTACAAGGACATTATTTACTTACCTAGTCTAGCATAAAAAATAAGGAAATAAACTTAATAAAAGAAAAGGGAAATTAAAATAAATAACGAACTAAATTCGGAATCGGTCAAATTTGTCCAAATATGCCAAGGCAGCCTCGTCTCCATCATCCTCCCTCGGTTGAGAAGGATTCGGCCGCGAATCCGAACCAGCCTCGTCTTCGTCGGAGTTGTCACCAGCAAAAGGCACCAAATGCTTGACGTTGAACACGTCCGAGGTGCGAATATGGGAAGGCAGACGAAGGCGATACGCATTCGGATTAATCTTCTCCACTATCTCCACCGGGCCAATCTTCCGAACCGACAACTTGTTAAACTCATGAGCCGTGAAACGATCCTTAGTGAGAACGGCCCAAACAAAATCGCCAACGTCGAACTCGACGTGCCGCCGCCGAACGTCCGCCTGGCGCTTGTAAGCCGCGGTCGTAGCCTCCAAGCAGGCCCGGACAACCGCATGTGTGGCCCCCAAACCCGCCACCAAATCAGTAGCTCGACGATCGTCCGTGGCAGAAGGAAGAGCGACGAGGTCGGACGGGCCCCTCGGCTGTACCGCATAAACGGCCTCAAAAGGGGACACACCAGTAGCCCGACTCACCGCCGAATTGCAAACTCGGTCTGGCTCAAGCGTTAGTCCCAACTACGAAGGTTGTCACCCACCAAACAACGAAGCAAATTGCCCAACGAACGATTCACCACTTTCGTCTGCCCATCAGTCTGAGGGTGGTACGCGCTACTGAAAGATAACTGAGTGTTCGCCATACGCCACAGGCTACGCCAGAAGTGACTCAAAAAGCGAGTATCACGATCCGACACAATGGAAGATGGAAGCCCATGCAGACGGTAAATCTCACGGAAGAACAAAATAGCAACATGCACTGCGTCTGTGGTGCGTTTACAGGGCACAAAGTGCACCATCTTCGAAAACCGGTCGACGACCACAAAGATAGAGTCAAAACCGCGTTGAGTCCGCGGTAGGCCCAACACGAAATCCATACTGATGGCGCACCATGGCTGCGACGGAATAGGAAGGGGCCGATAAAGCCCGGCATTCGAAGCAACGCCCTTCGACACATGGCACACTCTACAACGTTCCACGTGGCAAGCCACATCACGACGAAGTGACGGCCAAAAGTAGCGCCGACTCACCAAATCCATCGATCGGTCGCGGCCCACATGCCCGGGGCCGTGAAGGTCGGCCACAAGCTTGTGACGCAAGCTACCATCCGGAATGCAGAGGCGGGTCCCGCGAAAAAGAAACCCGTCCGAGAGGATGTAATCCTCAACCGGTCCACGCGAAAGATGACTCATGATAGGCCCAAAAACGGCATCCGCCGCGTACAGCTCGCGTAAAGCATCAAAGCCGATAACCGAGACTTGCATGTCCGATAACAAAAGGGCCCGACGACTTAATGCATCGGCTACTCTGTTGGACACCCCCGAACGGTGACGAATCACAAAAGTGAATTGCTGAAGGAAAGCGGTCCAGGATGCATGACGTGCAGATATATTGTCCTGAAAAGCCAAATGACGCAACGCCTCATGGTCCGTGAAAAGAATAAATTCCTTGTGAAATAGATAGTGTTGCCAATTACGGACAGCCCGGACCACAACGTAAAATTCTACATCATAAGTATTGTACCTGGAACGCGGCCCGGATAACTTTTCACTGAAGAAGGAGACCGGACGGCCATCTTGGCCGAGAACAGCGCCGATGCCAACCTTTGAAGCATCACAAGACAACTCAAATGTCTTCGAGAAATCCGGCAAAACAAGGACTGGTGCAGTCGTCAACTTACTCTTAATAAGGGTAAAAGCCTTTTCAGCCTGTGGGGTCCACAAAAAGGTCTTGCCATGCAAGCAATCAGTAATCGGGGCAGTAATAGTGCTAAAGTGGGATATAAAACGACGATAAAAAGAGGCGAGCCCGTGGAAGCTGCGCGCCTCCGTGAAAGACGTAGGGTAGACCAATCACGGATCGCCGCCACCTTACTATCATCCACCCTAATACCATCAGCAGAAATAACAAACCCCAGAAAAAGAACAGAATCAACCAGAAAAACACACTTACGAGGAGAGGCGAAAAAAGACTCAGCACATAACACCAATAATACCTCCCAAACATGTTGTAAGTGTTCCTCCACAGAGCGGCTGTATATAAGAATATCGTTGAAATAAACGACGACACTCTTACCAATGAAATCATGCAAGGCCTGGTTCATAACACGCATGAAAGTGCTCGGGGCATTCGAAAGCCCGAAAGGCATCACCATCCATTCAAACAGACCCTCTCGGATCTTAAAGGCTGACTTCCACTCGTCACCCGACCGAATACGAATTTGGTGATAGCCGCTACGTAGGTCGAGTTTGGTGAAAACAGAAGTCCCGTGTAACTGGTCCAATAAGTCATCGAGTCGAGGGATCGAGAAACGGTAACGAACAGTAATCTTGTTAATGGCACGGCTGTCAACACACATACGCCAAGAACTATCCTTCTTCGGAATGAGGAGGGCCGACACCGCACACGGGCTCAGACTCCGGCGCACCACCCCTCGCTGGAGAAGTTCCTCAACTTGGCGTCTCAATTCCTCGTGTTCCGTCGGGCTCATTCGGTAATGGGGCATGTTGGGTAGGGACGCGCCCGGGACCAAGTCAATATGGTGTTGGATGTCCCGAAGAGGAGAAAGGCCCGAAGGAAGATCGTCCGGAAACACATCGCTAAACTCTTCAAGCAACGGTCGAATAACCGCAGGTGGGGCCCACTCAATGTCCACATCCGCGCCCATCAACAACAACACGACTGAAGAATTACGCAATTCGGACCAAAAATGCGATCGTGAGAGGAGAAGGACCGCAAACGGCGAGACTGGCGTAGGCGGTGGGCTTGGTGTGCTTGGTAGGAGAATTATTTTGATCCCTCCAAAAAGAAATGAGTACCTATTGAGACGACCATCGTGAGTAGCCGCACGATCAAATTGCCACGGACGGCCCAAAAGTAAATGGCATGCATCCATGGGAATGACATCGCACCAAACTTGATCACGATAAGTGGGGCCAATGGAGAAAGAGACAAGGGCCCGACGGTCAACTGTAACCGCATTACCTTTCTTAATCCACGCAAGCTTATAAGGGTGGGGATGTGGCTCACAAGATAACTGTAACTTGGACACCGCTTCCTGAGCAATAACATTTTCACATGAGCCAGAATCGATAATAAAACGACAAACTTTGTTACCTATCGTGCACGTCGAATTGACAGAGATGTCTCTTAGAATCAGCCGAAGTCTTCGGGGCTAGACAAGTGCGTCGAATCACTAGAGTTGTGCCCACGTCCCCAGAAACATATTCCTCCGTCTCCCCCGGATCGGTGTCGAAGATGGGCAGCCCCTCAACTCCGTCCTCCCCCACATTATCGACGACTTCTTCTGAGAATAGGGCATGAGTTCCAGCATTCCGTGGACAAATCTCTTGACGATGCCCCACCTCACCACAATTAAAACAGTGCAGCCCGGACACCGCACGCGCTCCCGGCGCCGCCGTCTGTGCACCCTTGTTGCCGCCCAGCTGCGGCTGCTGTCCATTAGGTGACACGATACTGATCTACCCCGCCCCTTGGTTCACACCACGCATGGCCTGACCACCAGGCCCGAATGTCGCAGCCTGCCACGAAGAGGAAGCAAACGAGTGTCCCGACTTTTGTGACAGCTGCAACTCAAGAAGAAGAGCCCGTTGATGAGCATTCGAGACTGTTTCTGGGTGAAAATGATTCAAAGTGTCCCGAATACCCATACTCAGTCCACCCACATAGCGAGACACCAATTGTTTTTTGTTTCACGTAATTCGACACAAGTTAAGAGTCGATAGAACTCATTGGTGTACTCATCCACTGAACGTGCTCCCTAGCGAAGATTATGTAGTTGTTGGTACACAATGCTATCGAAATTGAATGGGACAAATTCATGTTCTACCAATTCACGGAACTCCATCCAAGAAGTGAGGCTTTGTTTTCCCTGACGATGTCGCCGACTAGTTAATTGCATCCACCACACCGCAACATGACCTCGAAATCTAGTAGCACCAAGTCCACACGCTTGTCCTCCGGAACCTCCTTGAATCGGAGAAAGGCCTCGACCGCAGCCCACCAATCGAGGAATTCTGACCCATCCGTGCCGCCCGCAAATTCTGGAATATCCACACGAAACCCTTGGTCCCAACGTGACCCATCGCCCCCTTCTATCGGGCGTCTGCCATCACGCCGGTCTCTACCCCATCTATCGCTGCCCATACGTTCAACGAAACCCTCATGCCGTCGCGGAGAATCATCACCTCGCCCCCACGCGCGATGCTAGCCAATCTCGTCTTCATCCTCAAAATCATTGTCGAAATGCCCGTGATGGCCATCATCGTACCCCGCAGTTCGTCGGCGCCTCTTAGCCGCGAAAGGATTGTCCACGGTCGGCGTATCCTCATCCTCGTCGTCGTCGGACAGGGTCTGTGGTGAACAGTTGCGGGGCGCCCCGCCAAAGCCGCGTCCTCCACGTCCCTCGCGAGCCCCTCCACGCGTGCCCCGGTCGCCGGCAACGAGGTTCGTACGGATCTCGTTCATCATAGTTCGCATCTCCTTCCGCAGCTCCTCCATCCCGGCTGAGAAATTCGTAAATCGCTCGACCATCCCGTCAAAGCGATCATCCATCCTCTGGAAACGCTTCTCAATGGCGGCGTCGAGTAAGACTTGATTTATGTTAGGCGGCATCGCGGATCGTTGCTGGTCTCTGGATACCAACTGATGTAGAACGTGATACGAAAACAGGGAAGATCGAGATACTCTCTCGTGATAAAAGACATTAGATTAATTTCATAAAAATTCTTCAATCGTTCTCATGTCTAACATGAGATAATAAATAGGAAATAGAGTCCACACTTTCCAAACAACTGCAAGGACATTATTTACTTACCTAGTCTAGCATAAGAAATAAGGAAATAAACTTAATAAAAGGAAAGGGAAATTAAAATAAATAACTAACTAAATTCGGAGTCGATCAAATTTGTCCAAATATGCCAAGGCAGCCTCGTCTCCATCATTATTTGAACCCTCTCACAGTACAACTCTTAGGTCCTTAACACCCGAGCTAACCACTTAGGTCGGTTCGCTGAGCTCTACATCAATGGCGTCTGAGCAAAACCAAACATCCATACCACTAGTAGTTTGGACACTCATGCCCACATTCAAGCAAGGATTTCAGTCGGCGAATAAGGCTCTTTTGTTTATATAATGAATATGCTAAAACTGCAGGCTTCAACAATAAAATCCAAAATTGCCATAAAGATAAGTACTGGCACAACTGCGAAAAAATGGTTCTTGCTCTAAAGAAGAAAAAACAAATATGTCGTACCGAAATAAAATCAAATGTGTGGTGGCATTAACCAAAAAAGGGTAAAAGGGCGACACTCGTTGTGATTGTCCTGCTCGAATTAGTGTGCGGAAAAAAAAAAGGAAGCTTGGTTATTGAAATATTTTGTAAAGATACATGCTCATCCTCGCTACTCTTATAAAGGGGCACATGTTAAGATCACATCAAGGCTTGTCAACCACAAAAAGGGTGTTTGTCGAGGAATACATAGAAGCAAATATCCCAACAAGCAAACAAGTGAGATAGTTTGAAATATATTATGGTGATCCCTTTATGGGCTGTTTGGAGAAGGATATTAGAAGCACATAAGCAACATGTAATATTGAATTGAGTGGACATGATCTCATAGGACATGATCTCATTCCTTAATTCATCAATTTGAAATGGAAGAAAAGACGGATTGAATTTCTTACTACGTTTATGAGATCAACAATTAAGGTGTTTTCATATGTATTTTTGGGCCGATAATGAATCAAATAAATCATATCCCCCGTTTTACAATGTATATATAAATACAGAATGGTGTTTGCACCCTTCATTGGTGTAATCATCATACACAGACCACCATGTTTAGTTGTGGATTACTTAGTGACGAAAAGATAGAATCTTATCTTTGGTTATTATATCAATTTGTAGACGCAACAACCGACCAACCACATTCACATGTTATTATTATTGATTAAGATATCGCTATATCAGTTGTTGTGGCTGAGGTATTTTCGAACACTATGCATTAATATTGTATTTTACATATTTTGAATAAGTTTTCATAAAAAGCTCGGTCCTTTTCTTCATAAGGTACACTACCATACTTCACTTGGGATTATTAATGACTCTAAAAGTCTCAATGAGTTTGAGCACATGTAAATCTCGCTAATTCTCAATTGAACAGTAATGAATGCCTATCAAAGAGGTATGGAGCCGTCATTGTTGGGTTCCAACTTACGTAAATTGTGTTTTGGCTGCTGATATGTCCATTAGCCAAAAAGGTCGAGAGTAGCGTTCTTCATGAGACAATTGGATAGAAAATGTTCATTAAATGATTTTTCACTCGTTTTGACAGGGATATTGCGCATCAGAGGCATGAACAGTTGATGACTAGTCATGTTGATCTTAATGAAAAATCAGTGATTAATTCCTCATTTGCTATGAAAAAACAAATTGTGAAGATATATACGAAAAAAAATTAAAATATTGTTGTTATTCAAGAAAGAGTTTGGAGAAAGTGTCATAAATATATGCAAAATGGTCTCGTGTTATGATTGTTCCTGAATTTATGAGGTTTGGCAATTTTTGTTCTCTTGCCTATAGTGGCAACAAGACAAAATGAATTGATTCACCATTAAGTCTATGTTAGGTCTTAGACCTAATTAAAGATTTAGTCTGTTTGCATTTGAGTCAATTTTCGTGAATTTTATATATTTTGCTATACTATCTAAAAATTAGGTCTTTTTACATATCACATAAACAAAATTAGACAAAATATATTACATATGTTTGGGGTAAATATTTCTTTTGACATTTTTGTCATCAAACAATCATCACCTTTGGAGCGGACGAAACACAAAATCGAGAAACCTATTAGAGCATCCGCATCAGTTGAACGGTACTCTCGTTTAAACGCCCCCCTCCGCGTTAATACGGATGCGGTTCATCCGTTTAATGTGGTGGCCCACCACTTCGTTCAAGCCGTTAAACGCATTCTTTCCATTTTTTTTTTTGTTTTTAACTCTTATTTTATTATTTGCATGTGGCACATGCTATTTTTTTTTTTTTTTAAGATTATTATTTATTATTTTTTTTTTGTTTTTTATATTTTATTTATTTTTTATCTATATCACACTTTCCAATACAGATAAATTCAAATTTTATCTATATCACACTTCCCAACATGTATCAATAATTTATATTTTGTAATTGTACTATTTTTTTCTTGTGTAGTCCTAATTTATGTTATTTTGGTCTTGTAGTGTGTTTTTTATTTTCATGTATTTAAAATTTATTGTTATAATTTAAACGGTAAATTCCTTATAAATCCCTAATGCACTATTGGACTTCCTTGTCAGTCTCCACCACATTTAAACTTCCTTTCCACTCCCTAAATCTAATTTCTCTTTCCAAATCACTCCCTATATATATACTACTCATATTATTATTCTTTTATTTTACCTTATTTTCATAAAAAAATGAATTGAATCTGCTCGTCTCTCTCTCTCTCTCTTGTTCTCGCAGTTTCTCTCTCTCTCTCTCTCAAAATTTATCGCCGCTCTGTCCAAATCAATTTTTCTTTCTCCAGAAAAATCACCATCTCCGGTCGTCCCAATCGATTTTCTTTCTCCGAAAAAATCACCATCTCCGGTCGTCCACTACTCAAGATAATCCCCAAATCGATTTACTGAAGATCGGAGGTAGCGACCGAGAGTTTCGAAGAGAACCGATCATTTCACCTACCAGTCTGTTCTGAAAGCGTGTGCTGACTGCTGAGCAATCAACTCTTGTCGGAAGAGAAGTTCGCAAATCTATCGATGCTAGCTCTCTCAGGCGGGACTTGTTTGTGCATAGTTCATTGGTATCCATGTAAGTGGCGATCTGAAATAATGTTATGTGTTGTCTACTGTTCAATAAAGCACAAAAGGCATTCTTTGATTTTGTTTATTTCAATAAATTTCTTGTACTTTTTAAGTGAAGGGGATGTGTTGTATGTATATGCCACTAGAACAAATTATTCTTGACTGTGGTTTTAATTAATGTTAACTTTCATATACCTTTTAATGGTTGATACATTTTTTCTTCAATTAA